TTTTGATTGACATGTGACACGGTGCGTTGTCTAGATGAAACATTTTTTTCTTTGCCATACGCGGTCGTTTCTTTGCGATTTCGGCCTTCAAACGTTCCAATAACGCTATATAATTTATACTGTTGATGGTATGTATATCTCTTCTAAAAGTAGTCGATGAATATTACACCACCCACATCCCAAAAAAACCGAGGTCATAACCTTCCCAGCCGATTGTTGTGCTTTCGAGCACTTTGGACGAGGTTCACCAGCTGCTCTCCACTCAGATAACGATCGTTTTGATTCCGGAGTGAAGTGATGGATCCGTGTTTCATTCATTGTCACATTTCTATGGAAAAACATCCGGTTTGTTATGTTTAAACATTGCTCAGAAGCATCAAGACGTTTTTGGTCAACAGTGACCTCGCGCGGCACCCACTTTGAACAGAGCTTTCTCATAGTCAAATGTTCGTGCAGTATAAAGCCATGCCGGTCTTTTGGTATCTTTACAATGTCAGCTAACTCACTTTTCGATCATTTAAAATGATTTTGTGAAGTTATTTTGTTTTCTGGTGTTATTGCAAAATTTGCACCTCCACTGCGTTCTGCATCATCGGTGTCTCTACGACCACGTTTGAAGTCAACAAACCAACGTTTAATTTTCATCATGGGGGCTTTGAAGTATATAGTAATATTGAAGTTTACAAATATGGGTTTTGAAAACATTCGGTACTCTCATCCTCGTAAATACGGACAAGGCTCAAGATCCTCCGTTCCTGCTCAAAAAGGCATGGTTTCATAAGGAAGTATGGACTGAATCTTTGCAGGCAGTGTTTTAGAGAAATGCTTTGAATATTGGATATAAGAAGTTGGACTAAGTTTCTGATGTTGTTGTAAATTAATACCACTAGAGTTTTTTCCCAACTCCAAATCGTTATTATTAACACCTCGACACGTGTTTCGATCACAGAGTGATCATCTTCGAGAGGAAGATTAAACTGTTTAATCTTCTTCTTGAAAATGATCACTTGGTGATCGAAACACGTGTCGAGGTGTTAAAAATAACGATTTGGTGTTGGAAATAAACTCCAGTAATATTCATTATTACACCAAAGGTTCCAAACAGTGCATCACAAGTTGATGTAAATTGTTGTTTCTGAAGGAGCGGAGTCCTTATAACACTTTTCAAGCCATTGCTCCGCTTGAACGGTATTTTTCCCATCAAAATTAAATCACGAAATTGTTTCTGATCCATTGAAAATAACAAAAGTAGTGCCACTCTTAACAGAATAACTCACAAACTTATGAGTAAAATATTATGAAATTTCAACAGCTTTTTTTTGGAGGTTAGTACTTATTGAAAAAGTGATGAATGCAATAAGACTAGCGCCATCTATGTGTTACGCCCGAGACTTTTCAATCCATGGTATACATAGCGCACGATAACTTTCGAGGACGATTTTTTCTTATAAGTTTAAAAAAAAAATCTGTTTAAAATCTGTTTTTCCTACCGACCAACACGGCAGTCAATTCGAGTGAGTGAACAAAGCACCCACGCCGAACCGCTTGGCTACCGACTGAAGTGTCTTACGTCTATCCCTTTTGAAACCAGTATATTCTGCCCAAAGGGAAAAAAGCTGTCTGTTCATTCCATTTCTTGTTAATCTCCTCTATAACCCGTTTATTGATCTTTCCCAATTCGTTTTCAGCTCATTTGACTCTGTAAGTGATATCTGATTAAATTCCATAACGAAAGTTTGCAGTGCAAACTGAATAGCAAAATGTATTTTTTTTTAATTCAATGTTTATAGAAAAGTAGTTGATTCGAAAGATTTTTTCGTGTAATTTAATAATTATATTAAAGTAGTTGTTTCAAGATGGTTTTTTCTACCAGTTTGGGTCTGATGGAGAAGTAGAAAGCAAAACCTTTCTTTACCTAAATTACTCTTTCTTATGAATATGCCCCTTTCCATTTATCTATTATTTCTTGTTACTTGGGTCAGTTCATATCTGTTAGAGGTGAAATGTCGGGTAAAATAAAATACATTAAAGCTTCACGCAGTTGACTACAATTTGTAAATCATTTTCCAATTTACTATAAAAAAGAATATGTCAAAATGAAGTTTTGCAATTATTCACGCTGTATTATATATAAATGCACTTACTCGTTCTAAATCCATTCGTGAGTGCAGCAACCTTTCCAAATAAATTACACCGATATTTTATATCTCAACCGAGTGTGTAGTACTCGATTCTTTCGATATCGAATAGTAGGCATATACATTTATTATTGAACTGTACCATTCGTTTTATATCTGACAACAATCAGCGCACTGCTATTACCTGGGTTCTGGTCAATTGACTGCAAAATTACTGTTAATAAACGGTTTGTTAAAATTAAAATATCTCTGGTAATGGGAACAAAAGGATCAGCAACAATGTAAATAAACATCTAGAAAATTGAATCTGTTGGTATTGAGCTAGCGTAAACGTTTTTCGATATCCATATTGTTTACCATCGCCATTCTTCAGTGAATATTTAGATTGTTTATGTGTAACTACTTTGAATTGTGATCGTACGATAATTGTGGTAATGTGGTAGTGAAAAAGTGGCAGGTAATTTTTGTGTTTGAGTTTTTTCAAGTAAATTTTGGATTTTGTTTTGAATTTTAGCATTCAATATAGTATTTTATCTTCGGATGCCATATTCTAAAATTAATACAATTATTGACTCACAGACAAGTCCGTTCTGTTGACTCTCAATTCTATTAAAAGCAATCCAAATTCCTGGGAATCTTCATGGATAACAAATTAAAATTTGATCAACATATTTCAGCTTTGAATAAAAAATTGGCATCAGGATGTTATGCACTTCGAATAGTTTCAAATGAACTGAGTTCATCCACATCAAAAATGGTATATCATTCCCTGATTGAGTCCCACCTGAGATATGGTGTTGCCTTCTGGGGATTTTGCAGTCAACAACTTTTTCATTCAGTGTTTGTTTTGCAAAAGCGAGCGGTTAGATACTTATGCAAGGTGGGAGTACGTGAGTCATGCAGACCATTATTTTTGAGAGAAAAAATTCTCACTGTTACTTGTATTTTCATACTTGAAACTGTTTGCCTGATTTACAAAAAACATAATATGGTTGGAACTCCGGAACATACAAATTACATAACCCGGCAAGTAACTGAAAATAAAATACATCTTCCTGTTCCAAAAACAAGCCAGACAAAGTATTCTTTAATTTATGAAAGTAAAAAGCTGTATAATCACATACCTTACGAAATTAGGAAGGAAAAAAGCTATAAAAAGTTCAGAAATCTTATTAAAGATGCCCTTACAACTAAAGCGTACTACATCTTGATGAATATTACAATGGAACTTTACTGTGATTTAATATAGGTGTTTTTTTTTTGTTGTTTATATTGACACCTATACTATTAATTATATTTTGTACTGGGATATATATTATTTTATTGCCATGGCACGTGAACTTACGTTCAAATTGTATATATTTGTTATTTACATCTTTTAAAAGGGACTATACAAACTATTTTGTCTACAATTCGTTAAATTTTATTTTCACCCAAGTCAACTCACCATACTCATACAAATGTTATTTTCCTGTCCTTTTTATTGTTTTATTACTGTAATATTCGCTTTTTTCTCCTATAATTACTCGTTATCTTTGGAAGTACTCGAAACATATTTTTTTGCATTCAATTTTATAACATTGAATTTTTTCATCGCTAGAAAGAATTTTTGTTTTATAGATAGTTCTTCTAGTTCTCCAAGTTTGTGATATAGATTTTACTTGATATCTGCCATTCAAGTGGCAGTTACTGGAGTAACACCAAATCGTTTTTTTACCACCTTGATACGTGTTTCGATCCTACGATATATATTGCATTTTTTAACAAACTGTATAAGCTAAAAAAGCAAGGCCGTAAGGCCTTGTGGCACTTCCTTTGATATCGGTAGAGCATCCGATACAATTCCATCCACAACAAATTTTTTAGTATGATTTTTTAGATAGTTTCGTAGGAGTGACTCAGCTTTCCGAGAAAACCCAAAGTAGATAAGTTTGTCACACAAAATCACATGATCAATATTGTCGAATGCTTTGCTATAACCCAGAAGTACTAACCAAGTCACATTCTCATCATCTACAGCTTTGAAAAGATCGTCGGTAATTGACAGAAGAGCCGTTGTGGAACTGTGCTATGATATTTATTAATCTGATATTTCCATATCAATTTCACTACTTTAGAATTGTAATTGGTCCCATATCAGAAAGGGATGTAGGTGAGTTACACTTAGCCAGACGGATAACCAATCCATCTTTCCAAAATTTTGGAAATTGGCAACTGGTTATGATGGAGTTTATGAAAATCGTGAATTGATTTATCAAAAAAGAGTAATGAGATTGATCATTTTGAGGTGTATCCGATCTGAACCCAAAGCGTCTTAGGGAGCTTCGAACAATCTCAATGGTGACTGCGGTAAAGTGAAAAGAATATTCAGATTATTTCAAATTAACATAACGATCTAATAAGGACAGTTGGTGAGCAGATCTGATAGGCTGAAGTATGGAATTGAAGTGCTGGTTAATAAGATTGACGTCATTCAGTTTATCAGGAATATCCGTATTTTTATTACTCCTCAGGATATCAAGAGTCCTCATAGTATTTAAAGTTGGAACTATTATTTCGTAAAACGTCCTATCGCACTACATGTATAATTTCTGAATTCTTTTTAACTAATCCAATCGGCTATCGCTGTTTTCTTGTATTTACTCAAAACTCGGTTCTTGAGTGAAATAATTATCTTTATAATGTAAGTTGAAATGTATAAAAGTATAAAAATGGGAAGTTAGAAAAACAAAACCTTCCTTTCCCAACAAATTCTTACCAATCCTCGCCTATTTTATTTTACTAGATTTGTCAATATCGATAATATTTTATCTAATCCTAATCTGATGTTTTCCTTCATCTATTTTTTCTTGTTTCAGATGAAATGAAAGTTCCTACATCATAATAAAGGATATGACGCACTTCTGTCAAACACAAACAAATTCGCCTGTTTGAGAAAAAATGTAATAAATCAATCGGTTGAAAGAAAATTCATTTTATTTTATTTTATGAATTCGTTGTTGTTTATTCGCCTTTGGTGAAAATTGTCATCGTCAGAAGAATGGATGAGTTTGACGGGCCGGGAAAAATCATAAGGGCCAGGTCTTTGAAGAGGGGCAAAACTGAAGAGAGAATTACCGATCGGGTAAGTTTTGAACTGCAACAGAGTCATTTAATATTTTCTGTTGGTTCTCGAAATTGTTCTCAGATAATGTCTCTCTATCAAAGAGAACATGAAAATTGAAACTGAAATTATGTGTGTACTCGTTTTTCATTGGAATAAAATGTTTCCTTTATCATTATTAAACAGATGATTGAGCTTGAAATTCTTATTTTTAAAATTGTTTTTTACATATATTTTTGAACGTTAATATTGAAGAACCATTGGAGTTGAAACAAAAAACCTACCAGAGAAAAATTTGAAAATGATTCGAAGCTCTTCGATTCTAACTTATCGTCATTGTTCAAATTTACTCAGTTTGGACAGTTCTTTAACAATTTTATGTTATTCACTAGCAAGTGATCTAGCTGAACAATTTGCGTCCCACTCCACAGTCGATTTTCTGGGAAAGGTACCATCCACTATTTCCACACTGGAATCCACAATGTCGGAAATCACTTTTCGACAACGCCTAGTCAGGCGAATTCTGAAACAGCTCCATATCAACAAGGCGACTGGTTCTGATGAAGTGCTCGTCATCGTACTTAAAAAGTACGCGAATGAACTCGCACCAGTATTTCGCAGACTTTTCAACTGTCTTACAAGAAAAGGGATTTTCCTTCTTGTTGGGAAATTGCTCGCGTTCAGCCTATTCCCAAAAAGGGCAAGAAAAATCTTACAAATAACTATAGACCAGTCGCTTTGCTATCAGTGATATCAAAAATCATGGATAAAGCCGTAAACCACTATGTCCTTAAATGTATGGAAGGCTTCAACATCTTGAGCGATCGTAAATTTGGCTTTCGGAAACAAAGATCAACAGGCGACCTTCTAATGTCACCCGTATTTGGTATAACGCAATCGAGTAACATGGAGAGTCAAGAGCTGTAGCGTTTTATATTTCTAAGGCCTTTGACCGTGTATGGCATGAGAATTTGCTGGCCAAAAATGCTGGCGGATCATTTTTGTGTATAGCTCTTCAGCTGCCTGGAAGAACGTTCGCTGTAATAGACCGTCGACGGATATTTCTCGAATACTTTCACCATCAATGCTGGTGTTCCCCAGGGATCTGTATTGTCTTCAATCTTCTTTCTATTGTGTATCAACGACTTATTGGAAAAAAAAAACAAGAATCCAGCATATTACTTTGCTGACGACAGCAATCCATGTCATTCCATTTGGATTCCAAGATATCGGCAGCGGATGTACATCTTTACCGGCAGCAGGAGGTTGCATATCTTAATGAGGATCTAAAAGTAATTCCAAATTGGGGTGAAAGTACCCAGGTTCAATTCAATGCCACAAAAACCCAGCCATCGGTTTTCTCGAAAAAGATAAATGTCTCCGAACTGGATATAATAATGTCAGGTCAAACAATTCCACTTTCCGCTTCGATAAGTTTGTTGGAGGTTAAAATGGACACCAATCATGTCGCTTGAATTGCAAAAGCCGCTTATCAAAAGCTTGGAACACTGTTCCGAACCAGGAAACTGTACACACCTCAGCAACTTTTGATGCTTTATAAAGCTCAGATCAGACCTTCTTTGGAGTATTGTACTCATGTATGAAGCTCCGCCCCCAAACATACCAAGAAGCTACTGGATTTCATTCAGAAAAGAGCCATCCGCCTGATTGGAGACGCAAACATCACTTGCAATCGTGATAGTCTGGAACATCGAAGAAAGGTTGGAGATTCATCACTCTTCTATACATATTTTCACGAAAAGTGTTCAAGTGACTTGGCACATGTGATTTCACCAAGAGCGGTACATATATCAGAAATACACGACGGACTGTGGCTGCTCATAGTCTTGAGGTTCAACTCAGTACACCTCGAAATTCACTGTCCAAGAACTCCAAATAGATTTAATCTTAAGCGATTCAAATCCAATGTGACTCGCTACTTTCGCACAGGCACCGCTTTTAGAGCGCCTTGAGGATTTTCCTGTAGTGCTTTGTTTTTATCCTTAAAAAAAGGTGAAGATTCGCAACTTTCCAGATGCTTGTTATTTAAAAACTTAGTTGCTAACAGTTGATTACTGGAAAGGTTTAGAGATGGATGTTATAACAAAAGAAGATATATTTTCATAGGACGTGGAATAGATAAATTATGGAACAAAAATATATAAGTTGACATTTGACAGTGTAAAGTTTATGTAAAATGATATGTGGCGAGAGAAGTGAAATAATAACACAAAAACGAAAGAATTACAGTCTATACTGTATGTACTCACTCATCTTTAACTATGTTGAGGGAACACTATTAGGTGCTATTTAAGTGCTAAACGGTAAGGATCGTAACATTTTCTAATTAATAAACAATAGCTTACAATTTCGCTAAACAATAGATCTAAGAATCAGGTCTTTCGAAAACGAGGACGAATGCTCAATCAGGTATAAACTAAGCGTGGTAATAAAGTGCTAATTAGGTGTTTGCTAGAAATTAAGATGAAAAGGACCCTGAATAACCGGGAAAAAATGTGGGATACCTGATTTGAGAAAAAATTAACAATATACAATAAAGTCTTGAAATGCTGGTAAACTCATACATAGACAATCAAAATAAAGTGCTAATTGAGTGCTCACTAGATATTCATTGTAAAGCTAGATTCTATAATGCCTATGGGGCTCATGGACCTGAAAACCACCATGACTGATATACTGAGTTTTTATAGTACGTTTCTCAATAAATAATGCCAAGAAAATAAAGTGCTAAATAGGTGCTCATTAGATATTTATAGTAAACCTAGATTCTATAATTGCTATGGGGCTTATGTATCTGAAAACCACCATGACTGATATACTGAGTTTTTATAGTACGTTCCTCAATAAATAATGGCAACAAAATAAAGTGGTAATCAGGTGCTCATCAGATATTTATAGTAAACCTAGATTCCATAATGCCTATGAGGCTTATGGATCTGAAAACCACTATGACTGATGGACTGAGTTTTTATGGTACGTTCCTCAATAAATAAGGGCATGAGAACAAAGTGCTAATTAGGTGCTCAATAGATTTCCATAATTCTTATAGGGCTTATGGACCCGATAACCACCATGGACCCTATAACCACCATGGACCCGATAACCACCATTTGATTTAACATAAGAAGTGTGATATATTATCTCAAATAGACTAACGAGAAGATTTCGAATTTTTATTTTTTTACTATAATAATAGCAAATATTTGTCTTCGCAAGTTTTCGGAGCTTCATACATCTTCATCTGTTATGTCGACAAAAAAGATCAGAGCCTCTTTAATGAGAATTGAATTGCCGACAAGAACAGGAGCTCGCACAAGTTTCTCAACTTCTGAGAGTTGTCGTTCGTATGGGGGCGACAGCTGATTAACGGGAAAACAGATTTCAAACAGATTTTTTTTTTCATTTGATTCAAAATCATTTTCGTAGTTCTACTGAAAGAAAACGGAAAAAATTGTTTTTCGTGTTATTTAGAAAGAACATTATAAATTCAGTGACCTCCATAAGGAGTTGGAATATCGAGCTGCACTTCTGAAAGAATTTTTGTAACATTGTAAAAAAAATTCTAGACGGTAAGCGAAAGACCGCTAATAAAAAATAATGTGTTTTTAAAATAAGAAAGTTATGACTTTCTTTCCATTTTCATAGAAATAGATAATTTTCAGCTTTCTCAGACGTGCACTAACGAAATGAATCGGACACCAATCCAATGAAGAACATCAACCACAGAAAGTTTGACCGTGAAAGGCAATAGGCATTATGGAATTCAGGTGTTCCATGAATATCTAATGAGTACCTAATCAGCACTTTATTCTTATGCCCTTATTTATTGAGGAACGTACTGTAAGAACTCAGTTCATCAGGCATAGTGGTTTTCAGATCCATAAGCCCCATAGCCATTATGGAATCTAGGTTTACTATTATTTATCTAGTGAGCACCTAATCAGCACTTTATTCTTTTCCCTTATTCATTGAGGAACGTACTATAATAACTCAGTCCATCAGTCATAGTGGTTTTCAGATCCATTAGCCTCATAGGCATTATGGAATCTAGGTTTACTATAAATATCTAATGAGCACCTAATTAGCACTTTATTGTCTTGCCCTTATTTATTGAGGAACGTACTATAAGAACTCAGTACACCAGTCATGGTGGTTTTCAGGTTCATGAACCCCATAGCATTTTGGAATCTAGGTTTACTATAAATATCTAATGAGCACCTAATTAGCACTTTATTTTCTTGGCATTATTTATTGAGAAACGTACTATGAAAACTTAGTATATCAGTCATGGTGGTTTTCAGGTCCATTAGCCCCATATGCATTATAGAATCTAGGTTTACTATGAATATCTAGTGAGCACTCAATTAGCACTTTATTTTGATTGTCTATGTATGAGTTTACCAGCATTTCAAGACTTTATTGTATGTTGATAATTTTTTTTCTCAAATCAGTTGTACCAAATTTTTTCCTGCTTATTCACGGTCATTTTCATTTTAATTTCTTGCAAACACTTGATTAGCACTTTATTACCACGCTTAGTTTATACCTGATTGAGCATTCGTCCTCGTTTTCGAAAGACCTGATCCTTAGATCTGTTGTTTAGCGAAATTGAAAGCTTTTGTTTATTAATTAGAAAATTTTATGATCCTCACCGTTTAGCACTTAATTAGCACCTAATAGTGTTAGTGTTAATTACTTAATGCTAGCAACGCAACTTTGAGTATTGAGTTGTGGTGTAAGTTACAGAGCACCTAATTTTGACTGCGGTAGGTACCTAAAAAGTACCTAATTTTGACATTTTGTAAATGCGATTTCTGTACTTTGCGTCGCTGGCCTAACAAAGCTAATATTAGATTGTTCAAAAAGTTTTGTCCGTTTTAATGTCATGTGTTTTTATAGCTCCACATCTCAATAAATATTTATTCGACTGTGTCGTGGTATATACTACCTACTCGATAAAGAATTTTGTAGTCTATACATAGATGCTGTTTTTTTCTCCA